TTACAATTAGGTTGTCCCTTTGAACTTAGATCTTGGGATCTCCATAGCTTGGGACACATCCATGTTGTTGGAATCGGTTGCCATTTCTGAAACGAAGGAATTCAGCCCTTAGTTCGGAGGCGTCATGCTGAGTATGCACTTCCATCCACTCAATAACTTCAGTATAGGCATACCTCCTCCAATATACGCCAAAACGCTGGTATGCCTTCGTCAAGTGAAAGTTGGTTAAGAATCGAGCCTCAGCTTCGTTACGATACCGCTCAGCTTCGAGGCGAACTGCCTCGACTTCTCCCTTCAACTTGGTCACTTGGGAGGTCAGTTCCCCCATCTGCCCTGCCCTGCCCTGTCAACTCAACTTTTTCTTTATTGGCCATTTCAAGGGCCTCCGCAGCCAGTTTCTGGTGGGCGTCAGAAGTTTCTACTCACTTCATTAACGAAGCCACCTTACTTTGAGATAAGTGGACCTCCTTCTTCAAATCCTCAATTTCTGCCAAAGCAGAAGAAAATTTCACAGCCTCCTCGGCCTCCCTTTTCTTATGAGCAGCCTTGCTCACCAGCTCCTCAGCCTGGGAAGCTTTGCCCACAAACTCTCGATTTTTCTTCTAAAAAGTCTTGAAAAGGGCCTCCACCTCCATGCCCATGCCAAATGACATCGCCGTTTGATCCACCATAGTAGCGACAACATCCACAGCATCGCTTGTTTCAACAAAGTTCTGCCACTTTTCAGTCCAAAAAGTGTGGAACGTCGCCGTAGCTGTTTAGATTTCTAGAGGCAAAAGAGCGAGGGCCTCAGGCTCAAGTTCACCAGACCGCTGGCCAGAGCCGGTCTCCCCTGGGAACGATCAGAAGTGGTGGAGCCTTTTTCACAGTCTCCTGCCTCAGAGGCTCTACAACAGCAGGGAACTTTTGCCCTCCAGAAGCAGCAGTAATGGATGCTGTCAACAACTTCTCCCCAGCTGGCACCTCCGAACGAGGGGGGAGAACATCAGAGGAACAGCCCACTCCGGTAGCAGAGACCCAAAACTTCTTCTTGGCCTCCTCAACAACAGCCTTTTTCCCTTGTCTGCCAAGGGAGGTCGGCCTTCCTCCTGAGGTGTATCCTCCTTGCTGACATTTTCTATCTGGTCCCTCACCTGCTTTCCTCCAGCAGATGAGGGCCTCATGCCTTTACGACTAGCGATCGATGTGGCAGCCAGAATGGTTGCCATGTCAGGAGTAGGACTCGAAATTACCTACAATCAAGGGAAGCATAAGATCAAACAAAAGCAGATAGAGAAAAATCATTGTAAGTCGTTAATAGAAATATAGATGAAGTCTTACCACGTCAAGTCATTAGACCAAGGTCCTCGTAAAATCGCTGAGGCACAACAAGTCGGCTAAAATCACGTTCGGAAGAGGGTCGGCGATAAATCTCAGACAAGATGTCCCAGTCGCTCTTGTCAAATTCGAAGCGCTCAATCGTCCCTACAAGAAAGGAGATCATAAATTAGAAGTAAATTCCATAAAAAGATATAAGCAAAATATAGGAATGACATTCACTAGGTTCGGAGTAGGAGGTTGGAACTTTGACATAGGGGACAGTGCCACCCTCTCACTCCTGCCTGAAAGGGGCTTGGGAGAACCAGGTCTCCTTCCAACCCTTGATGGAAGTAGGAAGGCCCAGTACAAAAGGAGAGTGCCCCCCCATGGACACAACGAATACCACCCTTTGGAATCCCCCTTTCCTAAGGACCTAGGCTGGTAAACAGTTTGAAAGACGTGGATGGGCATATCCTTGCCCAAAGAAGTCTCCTTCCAGAGCATGGACGACCCCACTAGCTGAGCCCAGCTATTGGGGATGAGCTGGGTGGGGGCCAACCCGTACAACCTAAGGACGGCTCGAAAGAAGGGGTGGAGGGGCTGACGAAGTCCGGCCTTTAAAAAGAACTCGCTGATGGCGACGCACCCCTGCATAGGAAAGCAGGCTCGCTCATCAGGAGAAGGTGACAGAAGTTCGATATTATAAGGGATCCTATATTTGTCTCTAAGAATGGCCAATTGGGTTGGGTCGACGCTAGAACGAATTTCGGCTGCCCCCAACCCACACCATCATTGCCCCGACGACCCCTCAGATGTCGAGGCACCCCTACCAGCTTCAATCGACCTCCTAAGATCGACCGTACTAGTTATCTGAACCCCTAATTCATGGGCTACCTTAGTCACATCTATATCGTCCCCGGAAGAAGTAGCAGGAGCCATAAATGCACAAACAATACCAAAAATTCAAGAAATCAATTACTTACAAGCCAAGAAAGGATTCTTGAAAGCACAAGGGGAACAAGCAGAAGAAAGCACTTGGAAGAATAATAAAACAAAAGATTGCAGAATTTTCAGAGGGAAACTGAGTGAAGACTTAAGAATCCTGAGAAAACAATGAATCAGAAATTCGTGCAACGGTGGAAAAAAACTCTCCCAAAGTTTTTCGCCTTTTATAAATGAGCCCACTCAACCCTGACCGTTGGATCTCGATCCAAGTCATCCAACCATTGATTCACAAGGTCCAATCTGGGCCCTTCATCCTACGTAACATTTCGTCTTCTGAAGGTTCAGATTGGAACATCCGTCGCACGCGCTTTATGCGTTTGGAATCCATAAAACGAGTGGGAGACAGCCATCATTGCACATTAAATGAAGTAACGGCTGCGTGTATGGGAAGTTGTTCCGCCTCATCAGTACTTCTCTTGGAAATTTAACACGACATCAAATCATTGCAGCCCCATGATTAGGGACGCCTCGTATTCCTCAAAATTGTAGCGAAAATAACAAACCCCTTGCAACTATCAATCTGAGGCTCTTTGGAGCATCAGCCCTTATCAACCTCCAAACCAATGAATGAGCTTTGGTTCTAAGAAGACGTGTCGAACTCAGAAAGGAACTTCGAACAAGTGAGGGAACCTCAGAAGAACGATATTCTTTACCAAACTAGCCACTTCAGCTAAACTCGCACAAGGTCTTCGTGAATTTGGGCATCTTTCTTTCCAGGAGTTACACAACACCTGAAGTCCATGCATTACATAAATAATCATGCATAGACTTGGTGGACTATTGTTATCCCACCATCTGAGGTCCCAGCTCGGACGCCACGTAAGCCAACAGGTCCACATGGGACCAGATGCCAGCTGCAAATAGTCAGCAAGCCAGAAGAGACCTAGTCAGTCAGACACGCCAATGAAGACAAGTAAGCCGAAGTCCTCACACACAAATACCCTGAAGTTATCACATTGCACGAAGTCCAGTCTGAAGTACCTCATCAAAGACGAGGCTCAGGCCCATCCGAAACTATCT